CCAAATAAATATGTAGAAGAGTTTGCCTGATTTACAAAAATGTACTTTTTTAAAAGGACTTCTATGTTTATCCAAACACCCCCCAAGTTAGCACCAACCCGTCCCTCTCCCTTCGACTCGGAGCTACGGTCAAGTCAAGACACAAGCTGCTATGTAGTGTTGGGATGGACATCCTTTGGGCCGAAATCGAATGATATTAAACTTTCTTTTGTATAAGAGGGGCCCAATTTTTTTTTTTAACCAGCAAAAGAGAAATTCATTGAAACAAAAGAACAAGGAGGTTCAACAAAGAAAAGGCAAAAACATAACCAACAAAATAACAAGGAGACAAAAAAAGCCAATAGGCTAGCCAATTCCCTCCCTTTCAGCATTTAAGGTTTGCTGGTCAGGATTCACAGTGTCGTCAATCTGTGCTTCACAAAGGATGATGGTAGCTAGAGGAGGTGGAGATTCTATTATCAGACTATTAGGTCCCACCTCCCTTGAAGCCAAAGCAGCCAAATAGTCAGCTGCAAAGTTACCCTCACGAGGAATGAGAGAAAAGGAGACAAATCTTCGTTTTTGCACCAGATCAATGATTTCTGTCAGCAAGCCATGAAGACTCCATGGGTAGTGACAAAAAGAACAAATGGTTACTGCTTTATAAAGGTCTTGACACTCCATCACAATGATTACAGGTTGCAAGTCTCATTCATAAGCTAGATGGACAGCCTTACCTACGACCAGCATCTCTGTGTGAAAAGCAAAATAGGCATACACTTTTTCAGCCCAGCCTTTGATCAACAATCCATCTGAGTTTCTGCAAACAATTCCAACACTCGCTTTCCATTCTTCTTACAGAAAGAACTATCACAGTTTATTTTGATTGTATTGCTTTGCGATTTCCTCCACTTGTAGCTCATTTTGGTTACTGTAAAGTTGGGTGCCTTTGGGCACAAAGAGTTCACTTCCCAAAATTCCTTCATGGATCTATTAGTCATCTCTATGGCTTCTGAAGGATTCGAAACCACTTGTTCAAAGGTCATTCGGCATGCCAGCTTCCAGATAGTCCATAGCATAGAGGCAATATAAGCTTTACTGTAATCAAAGTCCGGATCATTGATCATCAGAAACTCTTCTAGCTAGAGCCCCATGCTTCTAATTTTTGGAAGAGATAAGTAAATGCCCATAGAGCAGCCAAACCAAGCAACTTTGACCCAATCACATAGCAAAAATAAGTGTTCAAGGGATTCAGTTTCATCCCCACAGACAGGGCATAGGGGGTTAGGAGCACATCTTCTCCTATATAAGGCTTCTTTTGAGGCCAGTGCTTTGTTTAAAACACGCCAAATAAAGTTCTGTATCTTGGGCATGACTTTTAGTTTCCAAACTGCGGACCAAATTCTACTGTCCACTTTCTTTGATGGAGAAGCTCAATTTAGGGTGTGTTTGGCAAGCATCCCAAACCATGGTTTGGGAAAAATGTTAGCCAAACACCCTTAAAAAAATCAAAACCATGGTTTGGGTTCAAAACCATGGTTTTGACTCCAAAACCATGGTTTTGAGAAAAGCAGAAATTTTTTACTTTTGGAGGAAAAGGGGGAGAGTGTGAGAGCCTATAGGATATGTATCTTGTTGTTTTTTTTATAAACATATTTTTTATAAATATATTTAATCTTATATCTTATAAATATATATACATATTAATTATTTATTAATTATATTATCTTATATATTATTAATATATGTTAATAAAAAATATATTATTAACAATTTTATTCCTTCAAATTAAAATATATCATAAAATATATTTTTTCTATAATTATCATATTAATTTATGCCAATTTGTATATATAAAAAGTACTTCTAATAACAACTATCCAAACATTCACACTTCTCAAAATCACTTTTTCACAAAATCTATTTTTCTCAAAATCTATTTTTTTCAGAATCTATTCTCCAGAAGCTATTCTCCAAACCATGGTTTGGTTTCATCCAAACATACCTTTAATCCAATTCTACCTTCGGTAGCAGAATTTTTTGCTCTATACCCAGCTTTAACACTATAGTTCCCACCTTTAGCAGGTGCCCAAATCATCTTGTCATCTTGCAGAGAGGTTGTAAGAGGGAATTTAATGATCAAGTCCAGATACTGATTATCTATTTCTTGATCAATGGGTTGCAGGTTCCACCTCCTTTCTTGGATAAGATTAGCCACAACCATATCTTGGTTAATTGAGGAGTTGCTATTGACAGGTATTCGAAATTGCATAGCCCCAGGGACCCAAGGATCTTTAAAAACATCAATATAGTGCCCAGTCCCTACCTGCCAACAGAGGTTTTCCTTTAAAAAATCTCACTGAGCCAGTATACTATCCCAGACCCAAGAAGCTTTAAACCCTTTAGCAGCCTTCATAAAAAAAGTGTTTGGAAAGTAAATGCTCTCTAGCACGTGGACCCACAAGCTGTCAGGATTATGTAGAATACGCCAAGTAATTTTAGCTAATAAGGCACTATTGAATTCCATAAAATCCTTGAATCCCAAGCCCCCCTCTTTCTTAGATTTTGATAGTTTTTTCCAATCAGACCAATAAATTTTACTAGATCCTTTTGAGTTACTCCAGAAGAAATTTGAGACTAAGCTATCCAGAGCCATACACATATTCTTTGGGAATTTAAAACAAGACATAGGATAGATGGGGATAGCACTTACAATTGCTTTGATCATGATTTCACGCCCTGCAAAGGATAAGCATTTCTTTTTCTAGCCTTGCACTTTCCTTCCCATCTTGTCTCTCACATAAGCTAGGACAGCATTTTTTGACCTTCCCCACAGAATTGGGAGGCCAAGGTATCTCCTTGGATCTTCTACTTTTGCAATATTTAGGCACTCCACAATCTTTGCCTTCACATCGTCCAGAGTGTTCCTTGAAAAGAAAAGGCTAGATTTCTGATAGTTAACTTGTTGACCCGAGACATTACAATAATCCTGTAGAGACTTCATGAAAAGGTTGCAGTTATCAATGTGAGCATTCAAGAAGATAATAGCATTATCCGCAAAAAGACTATGTGTTAACATAGGGCCCAAGGGGGCCCAATTACTCTTTCCATGGGAACATGGGGTATTATTGCTCAAGGATCTTCATCTTTAAGAGGTGACTTGTACTATCAACAAAAGCTGGTCCAGTTGGTAAGGAGTCAGCTCATAACCTACAAGATCGTGAGTTCAAATCCTGCTGCCGATGTGAGGACCTTGTTGGTGGACGATCTGCAAATACCTCTGTAAGCGCTCTCTGAGTGTGGAGACATGCGCTGGCTCTAGTGAGCCCCGGAACGCAACTCACCTAAACTTTTTTGTACCAAAAAAAAAAGAGGTGACTTGTACTTTTCACAACTGTACACAGCTTACACACTAGATGATTAGTTGACTTTGTGACTTTGCTTTTGTCTTTTTTACTGCCATGCATAATCTTTCACGGCCAACTTTCACCCTCTTGGTCATCCTAGCAATGGTTATTTTGGTTATGTTTTGCTTATTTTCTTCTTTTCTCTATTATATATATTTAATTAATTATCTATAATGTGTGTTTAAATTTTTTTGAGAACAAATATTTTATTTTCTAATTTCACAAATAAACTATTTTTATTTTATCATAATAATTTTAGGTATTTTTTTAATTATTATCACATTAATAACATAAAATATCAAATACTACTATTTAATAAAGTCTATACTCTTTTCAGTCATTTTACTATCAAACTAATTTTTCTATTAATCATCCAAATAATTTTTAACTTTTTCAATTAATTTTTTATAAGCACCTATCCAAACATAAATCACATTATATTAACTGATTTTTATTTTAATTTCAGTTATTAAAATCAGTTAGAATAAAAATCAGTTTTGTCTACCGCCAATCCAAATACACCATAATGGGTTTTTTGTTTTTTTTTTTATTCCCTGTGGTGGCGTCCTCTCATATTCTTACCCTCCGAGACTCAGCAATTTTATGTTTGGTGGTATTGTTTCTGGTTTAATATGGGACTTAAGTTTTGGTTGGCCTATGAAGTGCTGACTGCCTTTTAAGCCTATTAGTTGAAGCTTCATGTCATTTTTTTTTTTATTTGTTTCCCATTCTGCTGGCTTACCATTCACGATAGTTTTGTCGTAACGTGTCTTTTTTTTTTTCAAAAAAAAAGATTTTAGGCCTCTAATCTAGTCTTGACCCCAAAAAAAAAAAAAAAGAAGGCAGCGGAATAAGTTATTATTAGAGTTTTTTATAAAAAAAAAAAAAAGCTTTGCAATTTTTTTGAGAAGGGTCCGAGCAAGCCCCTAAACATATGATAAGACTCTTCATGTATTAGGAAATAAAAGATATGATACTAACTATCATATTATAATTATAACATAAATTCATATATATGTATGTACACACAATATATACACACACAGATATATAATATGCTGGAATACTGAAAAGGAAAAATTTAAGGAGGGATAACACTAGTTCAAAATTGAACAAATGTCACAATGTAAATTGTTTTTATTAAGGAGAACGAATTTCTAGCACTAAATATGGACAAATTTTTTAATAAGAATATAAATCTTAATTTATTATGTGGGAAGGGATTAGTCTTTTTTACTGGACCCAATCTCAATTGGATCTCATATAAGTCTTATTTTTTGTTTATATTTGGGATTGCTTTAAGTTTTCATACTATAATGTACTATAGTAATCCAATTTTATATGTATCATTTTATTTTACTTGTGTTCTTGTATTAAGAAAATAAAAGTAATATATTTTATAATTTATAATAAAAATATATTTTATATTTATAATTTCAAATAAAAATAAGAAATAATAAACTCAAAATCCCCACATCTGAAAACTAAAAAGTAATTTCACCAAAACACGAAAACGTAAATTAATTGTGCAACGCCAAAAAGTAAATTAATTGTGAAAGCTTGTTGGGTTAAAAAAGGTGACGACGACAATAATTTGAGCGCAAAGGAGGCCATTCACCCCGTTCTCGTTGGTTTAGGGTTTTGCTTGGCTTGGTTTGAGTTGTGCCGGAGGGTTTCGATTTCTTTCCCAGAAAACTCTCTTTGCCCTTCTCGGCGCCGAAACCAGTAGCGATAGCAGCCATGGCGAGCACCAAGGTTCAGAGGATTATGACCCAACCCATTGTAAGTTCATTTACTCTTTTCGCTGTTTACTAAATTGTGTCGATTATATTTCCTCATTCACCACTAATTTCCTCTATTTTGATTTCCCTTTTCTTCAGAATCTGATCTTCAGGTTTCTTCAAAGTGTAAGTGAAATTCCCTTTTCGGTTTCGGATTTTGGTTTGTCCTGAGGTCTTCTGGGTGTATCGGACTTTTTTTACTGCTGCTGAAGTGAGAAACTTTTTGTGAATCGTGTTTTTGTGTGATTTTCTTTGTTGCAGAAAGCGCGCATTCAAATTTGGCTTTTTGAGCAGAAAGATTTGCGAATTGAAGGCCGTATAATTGTAAGTTTGCTGTCATCATCGTCTTGTTGTGTGCAAAATTTACAATTTGAAACCTGTTACTCCGCCTTTGCATTTCTTCTTTTTTTCTTAGGATCACTTGGATATGATCTTTGTTCTGAAGCTTTACTTGTCTGTCGAATTAAACAGAATATAAAAACTGGTTTATATGTTGGCGTTTGATAGTAGTATTGAAACGAAACTGTACCGCAGCTGAGTCCAGATTTTGAGTTTGTTTTATTTTATCCTTTGCTTTACAACAGTAGACTGCTTCCGCTGGCAGATATCGCAAGCACAGAATGAACGTAGTTTGCATATTTTCTACTATTTCAACCCTCAATTCAAACCCTTTAAACTGTCTTGGAACTTCCAGATGTTTGCTTTGGTTTATAAACTTGTTGACATTAGCTTGGAGATCAGTAGACTTCTTACACATGACCCAGGGATTAAATTTTCTTTGTGGAGCACAATCATGGAGTGATATTTTGTATGTGTTCCTTTTGTTGCCGCAGCCTAATGTCCTGCTTCAGCACTTCCTATTAGTTCTTTGACTGTCTAAACTTGTTTTTGGGTGGTTTCTTGGGCTCTAATTAATTTTTCTGAATATTATAACTTTATTCATATGTGCGTGGCATGTGTATATTGGACTGGTATTGTGTCTTAAACCTAATATTTTGAAGAATATGTCTATTCACTATCTTTGGTTGAAGGCCAAATTAAATTGTATGTTCCATTTGCTGATCAGGGTTTCGATGAATACATGAACTTGGTTCTGGATGATGCTGAAGAAGTAAACGTTAAGAAGAAGAGCAGAAAATCCCTAGGTAAGTTGTGAGACAGTGTTGCATCGTTCTGTTTTTTATGTCATGGATTTTTCTTACTAGTTTCATTTTTTTTCCAAAACTTCAGGTAGGATTTTATTGAAAGGAGACAACATAACACTGATGATGAACACGTAAGCAATGCTTTCTCTTTGCTACTTGCATGTGTGTTGATGGCAACTTTTAGTAAACTAGTTTTCTACTAACTCCTTGTATTGTCTTGTTCAGGGGAAAATGATGGGGGAACAGCACCCTCTTGAATCACATTTTGGGGGTGTCTTTTTTGGGAGGTCAACCAAAGAGATGCCTTTAAGACTTGTAGCCTTTTATCATATCTTTGATAATATTTCAGCATCTCAGTAGAAGAATTATGTGTTGATCAAACTTTTTTTTTATTAAACCCTTGTAGGTTTTCTATTTTATAATGTCATCTAATTTCCTGTGGATACTCCTACTCCGTTTGTTTTTGCCTTTTGTTTTCTTGTTCTTGATGCAAAGGGCGGTTTTATGAAGCTCCCCTTATGCTTGCTCCTTCAATTCGAAAAAAAGGGGATGGTCACAGCAGGCATTAAAGTTTTCTATAGAAACTCCTGCCATCACTCAAAATGTGACTGTAACAGTGTGATGAAGGCGTGAAACGTGATCAACATGACCTCGAGGGGACCTGTAAAGCTAGTGCAAGGGGTAGCTGTATTGTGAAAACATCTTGTCTCAATAATAACACTTGCGTGTCCTTTAACTCCTTTTTCTTGGTTTGGATAGGAGGGAGAGAAATGGAGATTAAAGAATATTGGGAAGAAAAACTGCAAAAAATGGTTTAGGAAAGGTCTTATTTTTAATGTTCCCACTTTCCTTCGGCCATGTCACGTCTTTAGGTTGGCAAAAAATAAAATCAAGCCTTTAGCAAGTGTTCCCCCTACCTGTAACCACTTGAAATTTTTTCTTCTTCTTAATTTTCGTGGGTAACAAAATAAGACTTTAATTACTTAAATTAAGCCTCCAAAAATTGCGTGAGATCTCAGCAGTTCTAGTCGCTTTCATGGGGTCAGCACTCACCAAGTGGCTTAAAACAAAAATCAACTTTGTGAAATTAATATGCTGACCAGATGTGGAGCTCTATTGAACAAGGATCTCCTCCATTCTAAGGCAATCTTCTCTGGTTGCTTCAACAAATAATAACATATAGTGCGTAAGTTGACTCGAAGCCCTTGGAAGTAGTATTCCCATCCCATCCACAATATTTGATATGTGGTTAGGAATTAGCAACTAACATTGTTAGATCATTGTTGATAAGATATTGGCAACTAACAGACATTTCACCATTCACAATTATTTGATATGAAACCATATTTACACGCTACTCTCTCTGGTTCTATTTGTAAGTGTCAGATTTGAAAGTGTATGATCCATTTTATAAATTTCAACTTAGATTTGTCTTAATATTTAATATATATTTTTAATTTTTTTATTATTTATTCTCTCTCTCTCTCAACAAATTTTCCATGTATTTTCTTTTATCATTTTTCTTATTGTCAGAGCATATTTAGAAATAAAAATATATTTTTTAAGTTTTAACCTATTTATTGATTTTAAGTAATTGTTCGTTATCCGTGAACTAAGTTATTTAAAGCTTACCGAAGAGAGTACATAATAATTTGATGTGAATCCCATATATTGCACAATCGTGTGAAAACTTCCCAAGTCACTTTAAACATAAGCTTTTTTTTGTGAAGTCCACTCTGAAAGCACACCAACCCACCTTCGCTCCGGTTTTCGCTTATCCATCTTGCAGGAAGACAAGCATCTTGGTTTGGTGTATAAGAATGATCAACAATTTGTGAATCATCTCTAATAAATACCCCTTATTATAGGTATATATCGCCATAGCAATAATATCATCTCATAAAATATTCCAGGAGGCTAGAAAAGATTTAACATCGTACTCCTGCACCTTTTGTTGCTGAATCTTTGCCTTTCTTTTTTAAAAGATTACCATGCAATCTCACGTTTTCTTTCACGAGCCAAATGATTAAATGGCAAGTTTCTTGGCATCATTCCTGGGCCAATTGAATATAATTACACTGAGGAAATTTCCAATGAGCATAAAAATAGCACAACTTACAAGACAAAACAACTACGATGATTCAAAAAGGGAAAAAAAAAAAAAAACAGACAAAGAAAAAGAAAGAGGAAAAATGGAAAAACATTCACAAGGGCTGTTTGTAGTTCAGCTAGTTTGATTCCCAACTTATACAATACCAGACACCTTATGATACACATCAATCTTTCTATACCACACTAAAGCACCTTATGTCCTGAACCATATTGTATGAACTATAGGTTAAGAAACACAAACTCTTCGACAGCAGGCACAGACCCTATCTTGTTAAGAGTCTCAGTGTTTGGTTCTTCATCAACACCAATAGCCATAATGGCCTTCCTTCCCCTTGAAGTTCTTCCCACACTCATGAAGTTCACATTCACATTCTCATTACCCAGTATGTTCCCAACTTGGCCAATCATGCCTGGTTGATCTACCTGACGACACAATATTAAGTTTCCCTCCAAGCTCACATCCACATCAAATGATCCAACCTTTATGAGATGGGGCACCCCAGATTTCACTTTGCCTTCAATGCTTATCACTCCATTCTCAGATACAGCACTTGCAAACTTGGATTCTACGTTTGATATCAGTACCTGAATGGAATCCACTGGGAGCTCTGGAGATGAATTGACCACAACTCTTTCCTCACTGATCCGGAGACCCTTCTGCTTTGCTATGAAATCTGCATTCACAAGGTTGATGATTGAATCCGATATAGGTTCAATGATGCCTTTTGTGATCATAGCTCGCAGAAGCCTTGTGTCCAAGTCATCTGGGTCTCTGGCTGATCGATAAACCACTTTTACAGATTTAATACCACTTCCTCCAGACACCAACTGTACAGCTAGCCTGCCTAGCTTCTCGGCTAGCTCGACAAAAGGAGCCAGTTCAGACATCACCTGATGACAGGAGCCATGTTTCAGTTCAGTTGCTTCAACAATATAGTAATACCAAGTCAGAGGTTGTGATCAGTCATATTGTTTACCTCAGGAGCAACCATAGGAGCATTAACCGCGGTTGCAGAAAGTTCCCCTTTCAAAGCTCCAAGCACAGCCTCTGCTATTTCAATGGCTACACCCTCCTGGTGAGCCAGAATTTGACGCAGGTAACTTGGTCAACCCTAAAGAAGAGAATTGAAACAGGAAGCTGAAGGATAAACCAGCAAGTCAGAGGGTAAACCAACACAAACCTGTGCCTCTTTCGTGCTAGCTCCAAGATGAGGCGTGACAGTGACATTCGCATGTTGAACTAACTTACTCCCTGGAGACGGAGGCTCCTCGGTGAAGACATCAAGTGCAGCCTATTCCCCATCATATGAATATATATATATATATATATATATATATAAAATAAAAAATTATAACAAGTAGCACAGTTCACAACTCAGAGACCATATAATACACGGGAAAAGAATTCAGCAAACACGTAAAACAAAAGGGTTGTTCATATTCATACCTGAGCGACAATTCCACTATCAAGGGCTCTGACTAATGCATCTTCATCTATAACTCCACCTCTAGCGACGTTGATGATGCGGACTCCCTTCTTCATATTGGAGAAAGTATGGTCATTGAAGATCTTGTTAGTGGTGGGGGTGAGAGGCATGTGGAGGGAGATAAAATCTGCAGTGGATATGGCCTGTTCAAATGACACCAGATCGACTCCGACTGCACGAGCCCGGTCTGCAGGTGCATATGGGTCATGAGCAATCACGTTCATACCCAAACCTTTTGCACGCCTAGCCACTTCAGATCCTACTTTACCAAATCCCATTATTGCTATTGTCTTCCCCACCAGTGAAACCCCTACATATTTGCTTCTTTCCCATTTTCCTGCAAAATTGTATTGTATCTTGTCATATCCTCAGTAGATATATCTCTACATGTATAGTTTGAATAAAAAAGATTTTGGAGCAAAATAATTTTTGTCTTTTCCGGTCAGCTTTTGGTTCTTGGCCTTGCAATGGATTTACCAAATATTGACCTAGAAAGACGCTATGGAGACTTCTCACTTTTGAGTTTCATTTCCTCATCAGCTAAGGAAAAATAGAATCTTACCGAATTTCAAGTACTTATGACAAGTTTCTATGTGAAATTAGACATACCCCTTGATAGATCCACAAATAGTAATGGTCAAATCTAATTATTGCCGCATTTGGTCAGCCAAAAAAATGCAAACAAGGGCAGAACTACTGAAGGACGTTTACTCTTTCTCTGTTTAATGTTTTCTCCTCTGTTTTTGGCTTCTGTTATGTTTTTCTAGTGGGAAAAATAGAATGGTTTTGCTTCTCTCTTTGACGAAGTCAACGCTGAAAGTTAATCCAGAATCCATTTCTTACCAGCTTTCATGGAGGCGTCAGCCTGAGCAACATTTCTTGCCATGGCAGCGATCAGAGCGATCCCATGCTCTGCCGCAGCAATAGTATTGGCCGTCGGAGCATTAACGACCAGACACCCAAACTCCGTCGCAGCTTGCAGATCTACATTATCAATACCCACTCCAGCTCTTCCCACAACCTTCAACTTCCCCTTTGCAGCCTCAAACACCTGCCTCGTCACCTTTGTACCACTCCGTACAATCAAAGCGTCAAAGGAAGCGATCTTCGAGCAGAGCTCTTCCGGCGACAGGTTGTACGCACACTCAACGTGACCAAACTCTCTCAACACCTGAAGACCAGAGTCTCCGAGCTTCTCGGAAACCAAAATCGTGGGTTTGGTACCCAAGGAGGTAAGTTCTAGATCGACGTTGGGGGTTAAGACAGAGGACTGAGAAGGGTCAAGCGTCTTCAAAACATTGTTGATGAGGAGAGAGAAGCGTCGAGAATGGCGTGGGAGCTTCAGAGAGGTGATGGGTATGGAGGAAGCAGATGTGTTGTGGATGAAGGAAAGAACAGAGGATTTTGAGTTCAACTGTGAAGAAGAAGAAGAAGAGAGGAAGGCGGGCTTGGCAAAAGAAACAGAAGAGGAAGCCATGGAAGAGAGATAGAGAGAGAGAAATTTTGTTCAGTTATTTTGAGGGGTGTGCTTCAATGAGAGAGAGAGAGTGAGTTCTCACATGTTTTTGGAGGGCCTCTTATGGAAGAAGGAAGCAAGGCAGGCGAGCGGCAAATTCAACTCTTTCTTCCCCACATTCATTGATTGTGATTTTTGTGAAACTGACCCCTTTTAAAATTCTTGAATTCTGTAATAAATGGTACTCCTCCGGTCTTTAATATAGGACTCAATTGGTGAGTTGGTTTTAGTCCTAAATATAATACTCATTTTTTATATTTATTAATTTTCTCTAAATTACCCCTATAGATACTCCTTCAACCATAATCAAGTAGAAGAGAAGAATATGGTATTGAAAAAGATGATTAAGGCATTTTAGGAAAAACATGTCACATTTCTTATAATTAACTAACTTACCTAACTTTCTTAATCTAATCAAATTAGTTAAATGGGTCTTATATTAAGGACGGAGGAGTATGTTTTTTATTTTCAAATAAGGTTGTCAGAAATATTTTAATTGGACTTGACCATACTAAAATTTGACCCATATATTAGATATATCAAATAATTATTTACAAGATAAATTAGGTAATTTTTTCCTGAAATGATAATAAAATTGTAAAGAAACATGATATCATTACA